TCTTCTCCTTCCAGCTACTGCCTTTCCTTCACAAGCCCCTGCTTAGTTGACCCAAAGCAGAGTACTTCGGGACGTTTCATGCTAGTTTTCCTCCAAAGAACAAAGCAGTTCCTGTCCTTAACTCTGGCTGACTGAGAAGAATGACAGAGGAGCTGGTGGGGATTATAGTAGGGTGCCTGGTGCAGTTTGTTATTCCGAATCCTGTGTTTTTGTCCATCTCTTGTGTACTTAAAATGATCCGCATGAGAACTGAGTTTTAAATCAGTTTGATCACAAGCATTCAGAAAGGAGACACAATTGTAATGCCATGGCTGTGATGCCTTTTTTAAAAAACTGATTCTTAATTGCTTTTTTTTTTTTTTAATCTCAGCATGCTCACGCACATTCGTCTGGATACTTCATAACTCAAGACTCCGCATTTGGGAATCTTATTCTTCCCGTTTTACCGCGCCTTGACCCAGAATGAAGAAAACATCTGCGATGAAAGGGACTGTGCAGCTTCAAAGACTGAAGCTACTCTCATTCACTGTTGTAAAAACTGACTTTCAGAATTTTGGCGAACTGACACGTGTTTTGCTTCTTTAAGAGAAAGGAGTATGTAAGTGAAAGCAAAAAAAAGGGGAACCAGGATGATGGGAGCTTGGGAGCTGTATCGTTTGAGGAGTTGACTATGCTCCCCATGACTATAACTTTTTTGTGACACCATTTGTTTTTTAGCTCTAAATTGGATAGTCATGTAAAGTGAGGCTGCACCCCAACAAGTTGGGCTGAGTCTACAGTTGGCTTTCAAGAAGCATTTATAGTACTTACTACTGAGGATTTAAAAAATGTGTTAATAGCTTAAATAGGAAATTCATATTTACAGTTTGTAAGATTGATGTGGTATGATCTTTTGAATTTAGGGTCAGCATATCATGCAGAAATATTCTTTGTGAACCCCTAACTAGTTCCCCCCTTACCCATTTTAAAAGGAAGCTCAAGATAAGACTAAGTTACTAACCAGTCTTAATTTCTTTTATAAACAAATGCCATTATAAAGGATATAACTAAATGCTATTAAAAACAAGAAATGTGCGTTTTCAGGTTGAGTACATTGTATTTAATGTTGCTGCATAAATGGTGTACCTGTGTAGTTTCATTGTCCTTTAAAAAATCTAAGCACTTAAAATTATGCAAGGTAAGGTGGGCATGGCGCACACCTGTAATTCCAGCTACTTTGGAAGCTCAGGCAGGAGGATTGCAAGTTCAAGGGCAGCTTGGACCACTTAGTGAGACCTTGTCTCAAAATTTAAAAAGGGGTTGGGGGAGTAGCTTAATGGTAAAGCTCTTTCCTAGCAAGTGGTAAACCCTGGGTTCATTCCTCAGTAGAAGAAAGAGGGAGAGCGTTGAAACTCTTTTTAATCACTTTAAGTAGGAAGGAGCAGATTAAGCAAGTTGTTCAGCATGACCTATCCTTAACAGGATCTAGGGTGCTCACTGACATATGTAGTCCTCGCTACTCCACCCTACCTTGTCCTGTAAAGTTAGAATCTGATTTTAAATAAAGTCTGAAAATAGTGGGTTAGAGAGTGGGTTACAGAATTGTGTAACATATGTTGTTGAAAATTTTTGTGATTGAAATGTTTTACACTATATTGCAGATATAGGTCCCCCGCCCCCATTGATTGAACCCAGGGCCATGTACATGCTGAGTGCATACCCCACTCGTGTTTGTATGTGGTGGTTTTGTTTTGTTTTGTTTTTGTTTTTTTGGTACTGGGGAGTGAACCCAGGCCTTGGCACTGAGCTTCATTCCCCAGCCCTTTCTTTTTATTTATTTACTTATATATGTATGTGTGTATATGTTATTTATTTATTTATTTTTTTGAGATGGTCTGGCTGGGTAGTTCAGGCTGGTCTTACACTCACTATAGAGCCCAGGTTGACCTCCAACTCACAGTGATCCTCCTGCCTCAGCCTCCCAAGTGCTGGGATTACAGGCATCATCAAGCCCAGCGTTGTTTTGAGACAGTCTTACTAAGGTGTCTGGCTTGAACTTGGCGATCCATCTACACCTCGGCCTCCCACCACTATAAATTTTCATAACTGACCTTCCCCATTATCTCTAGTAGTAGAACAAAATTTAAACTTAAAGTTCTAGTTTTGGTTAATGTTTAGTCATAGTTTCTTCCCTTTTCATAATTTCTTCTCCTTTTTAAAAAAATTTTCTTTTAAATTTTTTTTCATAATTTCTTCTCCTAAATCTTTCACCAATCTTTTCACAGCCATGTCTTTCCCAAACTAAGTGAAGCCAAGGTGGATAACAGTAGAATTGGCTGTGTCATTTAGTTGTTTTGTTCTGTTTTGTTTTTTTGAGGTGGTTGGATTGAATCTGGGGCCCTGTGTCTGGTAGGCAAGTGTGCTACCATCCTGTCTGCAGCTGAGCTCACAGGTGTGTACTGTCGTGCTTGGTGCGCTACATTTATTTTCCTCTCAGGAGTTCATATTGGGCCTCATTTTCTTGAATTTCCCGAAGTTTCTGTTCTGTGGATCATGACATACTGACGTAGTTTCACATACACTGATACTAGGGAGATAAAATATTTGCAGGATTTTTCATGTGCCTCTACCACAGGTGTAATTTTTGTAAGGCAAGTAAAGAGATCCTTTTAGCAGTGGCTCCTTTCTGATCTCTTAGCCTTTTAAATAGATGTTGCCCCAGAACTGCCCTGCAGTTCTGGCTGGAAGCACTTCCTGCCACCTGCGCTTTGTGTCACTTACAGATTAATTCCATGTGGATTTATTAATGCCTCTCGGTCAGCCCTGCGCGGCGGGGGATGAGAAGCCAGGTGACACCTGCTTGTGGAGGTCCTGGTGCAGAGGCTCCCGCCCTGGCATGCCAGGGGCAGGCAGACGTGGTGCAGAAGGGGCGTCCCAGAGCACGTCGCAGTCTGAACGGGCTGAGAGTTAATCTGGTGACTTTACCTGGCAGGGTAGGGCAGGGCTGCTCTGGCAGAGGTCGAGGTTGCAGCTGTACGTCTGCCCAAACAAGAGCACCTGGCGCCTGTCGAGGGCCTTCGGATAGACCCGCTGCGGAGCCTCTCTGACTGCCGATCACAGCTACGACCCTCTTCAGCTGGAAGTAGCCAGTTGGGTCTTCGCCCCGTGCCCCCTCACAGCAGTTAGAGTACTTCGGGGGGAACATGGTAGGCAGTCAGGGCTGAGCCCTCAAGGTCAGTGCAGAAGAACTGTGGCTGAAGGTGCTTTCACTGAAGACCAGACTTCAAGAAAAAGAAGAACTACTCATCCATGTACTTCCCTAGGGATGAACAGCAGTGATTGATATTCTGAGTAGACATCAGTCACCTTGGGGTGGAGGACGTAACCTTACCCATCCCGGCTGCCTGTGTGCACTTGCCATGTGACTTGTTTCCCCACCTGATCCCCATTTAATCAGTATTGCCCAAATGGCATTATACTTGCTATGAACGTATTGGTTGACCATAGTTCTGTCCCACCTCACACCCATCCTGTGATTTGCCATTGGGTCACTATTACCTAAGCGACTGTACTTGTAATCTTATTGGTTATCGTTCTGTCCCACCTTAAGCCCGCCTCGCCTCGTGGCTCTGCTCAATAAAACACCCACGAGAAGCGGGTTGGTGGGCAGCCTACTCTCTGGGCCCCCTTCTATCCCTCTCAGACGGAAGCTTCCTTTCAATAAATTAAAAAAAAAGGTCAAGGTTGCACCATCACAGAACCGGCCGAGCCAGGTGCCGCACTCTGGAGGACAGCGGGGTGGCCGTGGACTCAGTTGAGGCCTGGGGTGAAGCTGCATCATTGCTCCCCTGGGATGTGTGTGGGTTTGTGTAAATCGGCTCACCTCTCGCTGCATGCCACAGTCTGTAGGACAACACGCTCCGCTGTACAAAAGCGTAAGTCTTAGCTCACTCCAAGTGAGAAGCTAACTAATGGTTTAATACGGTGTGACCAGCTTTTGGAAACGTTAAAAAGTGTACCGCATGTAGTACTTGATTTTGTGTCCTGAGCCTTCTGTTTCTGTGCGTGTGTACGTGGATTTTACTTACTGTGTTCATCGCTGGAATCACTAGCTGGTAAGTCTTTGAAGGCAACATCTCCCTCCATTCCTTCTTTCTCTTCTGCTTGCTTCCCAGTGTACTCCACTTAGAATTTGGCATTCAGTGGGTGTTCGCTACTTGTTGAAGGAATGAATGGGAAAGCATATGACCTGGGCAGTGTAAAATGTATTTTTTATTGTGAGTCATGGCAAAGTAGATTTGAAAGCCGCTGCTAAATAATTTAGATGACAGCACTTTGTGTGATTCTGAAATAAAAACTGGAGAGGCTCAGTAATTTGAAAGGCAGATTGTTTTCCCTAAATAACCTGAACTGTCTCATCTAGTTGTCCCAGTTCTTTGGTTCATTCTGGTGGTAGAAATTCAGCGTTTGTATGAGTCCAAGGCCCAGGCAGGCAACGAATTTGACAGAAATGGTTCCAAAACGGAGAATGTGAGTGCAGTTTAGCCCCAAACCGGAACCCAGTTAGCTGGCACAAGCCCGCTGCAGCAGCATTAAAGTCAGCGGTGTTTCCTGTGTGCTTTCCTTACTCCCTCTAGACACCTGCGGTTTTTTGTTTTTGGAGGGTTTTTTGGTGGTATTGGGAATCAATCCCAGGGCCTTGTGCCTGCTAGATAAGCACTCCGTCATGAGGTACATCCCAAGCCCCATGTTTTTTTTTTTTTTTTTAAATGAGCAAATAAAGAATGAACACGGACCACGAGGAGGAGCAGAGTGTAGTCACCGTTCTGGGGAATCAAGAGAGACAAGCGCCCTGCTAACACGGGAAAACCTGGTGGGGAAACCTGGTGAGGAAACCCGAACGATGTGAGGCCGAGCGGGCTCCTGAGGGCTCCGTCAGAGAGAAAGCGTTGGAACTTGACTTTGAAGGTGAAAGGAGTTGGGCAGGAAACACGGGAGAGCAGTGTCTAGGCAGAGGAAGTGCGTGCGAGGAGGTGGAAGGACAGCAGGCAGAGGGCCGCCGCAAAGCACCTGACATCCAGTGTCTGTGTAGACAGATACTGAGAAGCGAGGCGAAGGTAGGCTGGATTCATATTCGGGAAGGTCTTGAGCTCTAGGGGGAGACTTAGTTCACAGCTGGAGCCTCTGAACACTGTCGGTTGTAAGCAGGTTTAGAGAACCAGCTCAACCCTCATCAGCTCTTGGGAAAGGGAGGCGTACGAGGCACTGGAAAACATTACTGTTACTTTCTGTTGCGAACTCAGGTGTGTTCTCTCAGTTCCAGCCCCATCTATCTCTGCTCTCTTCCATTTAGATCTTGCACCTTTCCCCCCAGTTTCTTTGCTTACCTCCCTCTTTCTTTCTTTTCTTCAGCTTTCTTCTCCAAGAATCTTTTAAGGAAAAAGCCAAGGCTCCCCACACAGGGTTAATTTTATCTCCACTTCCACTCAACGAGGTAGTGAGGTGGATATTCTTAGGAATCAACTCTTCATTCATTCTTCCTTCCCTCCTCCGTGCGGTACTCATACTTTTATTGGTTGTGCTCCTTCCCCAATAGGCAGTGTCCCCAGTTAGCCAGGGGAAATGTCCAGGTACAGGATGTACTAAGTTCTAATTGTTTAAGCTACGTTAGTGGTTTTGTTTGTTTGGCCCCTTGTCACGAATACTCCAGTAAGGTGTCCTGACTTGCTAACATCTCGGCCACACAGCTAGGTGGTGGAAAAGCGAAACAGCATTCTCAATTTCCCTCATGACCACACAGTGCTGCTTTAGCTCTCCACCCGCTTTGCGCCATTTTTCATCGCCAGCAAAGTTAGTTGCTTATGAATTTTTCCCTTGTGGTGAGCCTCCTCCCGTGTACCCACTGACCTTAGCCTTCTGTGACACATCTTTTCCTAATCGTTTCCCTAGCGTGGCCTCTGGAATTCTTTTGGTTCAATCATAAAAGTTCCCCTATGCATTCCCAGCTTGTCCTCAGCATGTCTCCATTCTTACTGGTGCCCCAGTCTGGAGACCAGCACATCTTTTAACCTCTCAGAAGGAAGCCGCTGGTGAGCTTGTATCCTGGCTG